GGCCGACCCCGTCTGGAGGCTGCAGGCTGGAGAGCAGTGGACTCTCTCTGGCTCCTTGCAGGGAGCTGGGGACGAGCTGGGAAAGGAGGGCGGGTGAGCGGGCAGAGGAAGATTCTGGAGAGCCTGTCTCCAGTAGTGGGTGGGGTTGGGGGGAGCGTGTGCAGGCCCCATCTTGGGGGGTCTGGGGATGGGGTTTTGCTAGTGTGCAAGTGTGTTCATTCCCAGCGGGTGAGCGGGCAGAGGAAGATTCTGGAGAGCCTGTTTCCAGTAGTGGGTGGGGTTGGGGAGGGTGTGCAGGCCCCATCTTGGGGGGTCTGGGAATGGGGTTTTGCTAGTGTGCAAGTGTGTTCATTCCCGAATGCCTCTCTGTCCCCAAGTGTAGGGTTGTGCATGCTCCTGAGTGTGAGCACGCGGGCCTGTGGGGGTGCCCGTGTGCACTGGCTGGCGGCCTCGCTCTCCCTTTCCCCTTGGCCCCTTCCTCCCTCACTGCAGTAACTCCACTTCCTCTGCCGGGGATGAGTCCTCGCCAGGGACCCTCCCACTGTGAGAGGCAAGGACCTGAATTCCCTACCTGCCCCTCCTGGAAAATTTCCCGGAGCTCAACGCTGGGCCTAAGACTTGTCAGGACCCATTGCTAGAGGCGGAGAGGTATCGACCAGAGAATGGCTCCCCCAGAAGTGACCCCTGGAAAAAAGGAAAACTGGGTGGCCAAGGACCCCCTTCTGCCCTGAGGGAGGATCTCTCCCAGGGAGGAAGCAGATGTGTGTGTGTGTGTGTGTGTGTGTGTGTGTGTGCATGCGACCAACATGTATGCATGTGCCCCCTCCTCCAGGGGGCTCTAGACCTAGAGATTAGCCTCCCACTGTGACGGAGAAAACAAAAGTTCTTTGTGGGCCCCTGGCTTTTGTCTTGGGAGAGGGAGAAATTTGCAACAAGACACTTCTTGAAAGGAGACACTCCATTTCGCAAGTGAGCCCTCTCACCCAGCACACCCTGCGGCTGGCTGAGCAAGGAAGGCACTTAGGCATGAAACCACTGGCACCGGGCAACACCCCTCCATCACCCATCCCACCACAGGCCCCTTCCCCAAGCAGCAGCTCTTCCCCTGTCCGTCCCTCCTCCTCATCCCCAGTGCTCCCTCCCTCCAGCCCCACCACAGGACAGGTATTGTGGGGAGAGTAGGGAAGGGAGATGATTGTCCAGGCAGAGGCAGGTTTGTGTCTAGAGCCTGGGCTGCTAGACTTCCAGGCCAGTGCGTTGGCTCTCAAAGGAGATTAACTGGGATTACGTGAGACGCTGCATGTAAAGATGCTGTGTGAACTGTGATTCCTCATACCATTATCACTCATTATTGAAATCATTTCACCATTTCTGCTTCCTGGGGCTAGAATGAAGAAGGGGCCTGACCCCCCTCCTCTTTTTACCTCTTTTAGTTGGTAGTCAGAGCAGAGGAGAGCCCCGAGAACCCCAAGGTGCAGGCAGAAGGAGATAGGCTTGGGTCTGGCCCCTTCCTGGTCCGGCCTCTGCAACTCTCCTGACCTGAGTGCACGCTGGTTGTTGTCTCCTTTCTTTCTTCCCATCACCCAGACCATCCATTCTCTCCTTCCTCTCCAACCTGCTGCATAGCTACCTTAAGAATCACACCTTGAGCCCCTTCTGCATGCTCTCTGATGCCTTCAGGCTTTCGAGGCATTTATATGTATCTGGACCACACTGTGCCAAGCACCCACTGCGCGCCAGAGTCTCCAGCCCCTTCCTGCCCTCCTCTCCCTTCAGAGGTGGACTGCGTACCAGGAACATTTCTGTAACTGTGCCGGCCTCAGCATCTGTCTTGTTTGTCTTCCTTGACCAAAGCTCCCTTTGGGGTCAGAAAAAGGCTGCCCTGGGCCATTGGAGATGATTCTCCCAAACCCCCGGGGACCGGCCACTTGACCTCATTACAGGGGGAAGAGTCGAGTCAGAGACCAAAGTGACCTCCAAGGCAGTACGCCTGGTAGCTGACTGTCCTCCTCTGAAAGTTCAAAGACAGCAGGGCACTGAGCTGTGGGCCAAGCCTGGTTGTGTCTCAGGCACTTCATCCACACCCCACCTCACCTCAACCTGTCCCTTTAGAAGTTACCAAGAATTTCTCTCGATATCTGTTTCACTTCCTGGGTTTCATCTCCCTCAGAACTAAATGTGAGATCCCCACCACTTCTAGCCCTGATTGCCCAGATTGGGGTTCCTGAGGTCAGAGTTCAAAGCAGAATTCAAAGTGATGGGGGTGGAGGCGAACTGACACCTATTGAGCATCTCTTGTGTCCCAGCCTCTGTGCTGGGTGCTTTATATACATTATCTCACTTAATCCTCCTAAAACTGCAGGCAGGTTAGGGAAGGACAGTGGCCCCCAACCATGCGGGGTTTTATTTCCAAAGCACTCCCTTATCCCAACCCTGTGATATAGGCAGGGCAAACACTGTCATGCACCATAATATGACATTTAGGTCAACAACCTATCACATATGTGACGGTGGTCTCATAAGATTATAATGGAGCTGAAAATTCCTATCATCTATTGACAGTCGTAGCCATCGAAGCATCGTAACATCATAGCACAACAATTACATGTTTGTGATGATGCTGGTGTAAACAAACCTACTGCGCCGTCAGTAGTATAAATGTATAGCACACACAATTACTGGGTTTATACCATCCGGGTTTGTGTAAGTTCACTCTATGATGTTCACACACGACAAAATTGCCGAACGATGCATTTCTCAGAATGTATCCCCCTCGTAAAGTGGCCCATCCCTGTACTGTTCTTCCTCTTTTATGAACTGAAGCTAAGAAACAGGTCTAAAGTCGTGGAGACAAGACTTGAACTGAGGCCTTTATTCAAAACCCCATGATCTTTCCAGTCAGAAGTCAGAGGAGACCAGGTCCGGTCTAAGGCAAGTCCTAGGCCCCTCTTGGAAGCCCCTGGCAGACACCAAAGTACGCAACTGAGCCTGCTCAGTCCAACCCACTGACTTGTGGTGGACACAGGGCCTGGGGGAGGGCTCTGGCAGGGCAGGAATAAAACGACGAAGAACAGGGGATGGTTTCTGCCCTTGAAGAGCACTCATTGTGGAGGAGGATGGAAGTCAGTCACACCTCAAACCAGACAGAGGCCGGGCAGCATAGAGGCAGGTGGCTAGGTCCCCAGGCTGGGGACAGAGAAGGCTCTGAGCTGAGGGGAGGAGGTAGCTGACCACTGGGTCCCATCAGCTTCCATTCCCATAGCCCCACTTTGTGCCAGATAAACACCTGCAAGTGTTGCTTTGATGTTTTGTATCTTTAAGCTGTATATATGCAATGCCTCCCAGCTAGACTGTACGCCCTCCAGGGGCAGGGCTCCTTCCAGTTCTCAGATGGCATTCTCCCGTCTATCTTCACTCATCCGTGTTGTCTGGCACAGTGCCCTGCATGTCGTAAGCTCAATAAATGCTCATTTGCAAATAAGTGCTTGTTTCTTCCACAACTTAGAAATGGTCAGTACAGTCCAAAGTGCCAGCAGGCAGACTGGGGTCTCTGGCACGTCCTGGGCTCCCCAGAGCTGCTGTTAGGAATGGTGCAGCAAGGATTTCAATGCTCAACTAATTGGTGGCAACCTGGCCAGATGAGCATCAGGGCTCTGTGACACAGGTGGTACCTTGGAGAGGGCACCAAGACATGGGTAGGTTCTTTCCTAACGTGTGCAGGGTGGGAGGACCTGACCTTGTGGCCTGCAGACAGAGTAAAGAGCAGCTCCCTTTGGTCCCCTCGTGCTGGCTGTAGCACTGTGTTGGAAAATCAGGGCAGGAACCTCCAGGGTCTGGGACAAACCTAATGCTCCACGTGTTCAAAACTGACCACCTGCTCTTCTCTCCAAACCTGCGCTTCCCATGCCTGGACACACTGGCTCAGTGGTTGAGTGTCAACCTATAAACCAGGAGGTCGCGGTTTGATTCCCGGTCAGGGCACATGCCCGGGTTGCAGGCTCGATCCCCAGTGTGGGGTGTGCAGGAGGCAGCTGATCAATGATTCTCTTTCATCATTGATGTTTCTATCTCTCTCTCCCTCTCCCTTCCTCTCTGAAATCAATTTAAAAAACTTTTTTTAAAAAACACCTGCTCTTCCCACAGTCTTTTCATCTCAACTGATAACAACTCCATTTTTCCAGCTGCTCAGGCCAAAAAGCTCATTATCCTTGACTCCTTGCTCTCACATGCCACGTGAGCTCCATCAGAGACCCCTGTCCGTTCTACCTTCACAGGGGATCCAAAATCCAATCATCCTCACCTCAGGTCCAGGCCACCATCATCTCTCCCTGGATAGGTCCCTATCAGCCCCCCTGCTTCCATTCCTGCCCCTCCAGTCTCTTCTCAACACCGCAGCAGAGGGATCGTGTTGCAAACTTTGTCAGACCACATCGGTCCTCGACTCAGTGACTTCCTTGATCTCTCAAGTGAAGCCAGCAGTCCTTTGGGGGGTGCACAGGTCTACCCACCTCCACCACCTCTGTCCTCACCTCCTTAAGCTTCCCCTTGCTCCCTCTGCTCCAGCAACACTGGCAGCTCCCTCTGCCGGGAATGCTCTTCCCTCAGCCATATGCATGGTTCTCTCCCTCTCCTCTTTCAAGTCTTTGTTCAGCTGTCACCTTCTCCGTAAGACCTACACTGACACCCCTTTACACTCCCACCCCAACACATACCCTATTTTTCCATTGCACTTAACAGATGCTATTGTAATTTATAATCTGCACATGTCCATTATTTGTTGTCTGTCTCTTTTCACTAGAATATTAGCTCCACGAGGCAGAGATGTTGTCTGCTAACTCATGGCTATATCCCCAGTGCCTAGAACAGTGCCTGGTACACAATAAGTGCTCAATAACTCTTTGTGGAGTGAATGAATGACTATTTCCCAACACTGGGGATATGTGTAGCCCCAGGGGCATCACCTCCTGTCAATTACCCTATCATTTCTACCCCCAGCCCTCCAGAGAACACAGCGGTCCCCATGCGAGGAAAGGAGAGAAGGCGCCCTCCCTGAGATACTCTAACTCTCCCTGCCAGGGATGGGGAGACCCATCTCCCAGCCCACAAAGGCCCCAGGGAAGCACTCCTCTGGGGCTGGCAGGGCAGGGCCCAAGTGCTCAGAGGAAAGACAAGTCCAGGACACAGGAGCTCCGGTAGTTCTTTGTGACAACCTGGGGACCGAGTGACCCTGGTAGAGAGTTGGAAGAGAGGGAAGGATTTCAAGCACAGGCCTAGGAAACATAACCAGCTGCCCCGTCTGAGCAATCTTAACAGCCAGGTCTCCTTCTTCAGCCACACCAGGCCCGTTCCTGGTGACACTGTGGGTCCCCGCTCAGGTCACGGTGTGACTCTGGACCTCTGAGCCTGGGTTTCCTCACACGGAGCTCAGAACCGAATCACACCGTGGAGGCCAGAGACCTTGGTTAGATGGAAAGGACTGGGCCAAATCCTCAAGCAGGAGCTGCCCCTGGTGGCCAGTCGCCCGCGAGCACTGCTGCGTCCTTCCCACTCCAAGACACCTGTGGGCTCATGCAGACAGTGCCCAGGGAGAGACGATAAGAAAGACGGTGGAAGGTGCAGACTGGAGGCATGTTCAACAGCCCTCAAAGCCTGTGGGGTTATCAGGGTCCTTGTTCCAGTCTGGGCCGGGCCCACAACAAGCCCTGAGCCCCAAGCCCAGATGAAAATCCTACCCACAGCTGCCATGCTCTGCCAGGAGCAGGGCCCAGGACCCAAGGCAGAAAGGACAGACAGCCCTCCTGCCTTAAGAGGAGAGATGTGGGGGAGGAGCTGCTCCAACAGGAAGCACTGGACGCAGGAGGAACAATAGCAGGGTTTCTTCGGTCCCTGTTTTCTTTGGCCTCTTAGCTGCCACGGAGCCCAGAGCCCGGACCTCTAGGCCCTTGGCTTTCCTCCCGGCCCCTCCCCGTAGCCCCTGCCTGACAGACTGACAGAGGAGCACCTGTTCTTTCTCTCTGCTGCGCCGTCACCTTACCGCCACACAGAGCCTTCAGGGGGCTTTTTAAATTGTAGTTGCAACATGAGGAAACTTGACTTAGCCTCACTCTGCGCCAGGCTCAGTGCTAACTGCTTCCCAAGGACACACAGGGTGGGGGTTTGGACGAGGGAGGTCTTCAGTGCAGCCCCTCTCCTGGGATCCTGAGAGTCACTCCCTGCCCCTCCTCCAAGCCCTGAGGGCGCTACAGCCTCATTCCCCACATGCCTAACCCGGAGATAGGAAAAGGGGGAGGTGGGAGGGATGGTGGGCAGCAGCGAGGAGCTCAGAGAGAAGGTGCAAAGACAGGAGGGAACTGGAAGAAAGTGTCACCCAGCCCAGGGGTGGGAGGACCTGACTTTGAGGGCATTGAACAGACCACATGTAAGAGAGACAGACATAGAAATGAGGTGAGGCAGACAGAAGCCAAGGAAGTCACAGAAATTAAGAGGCAGAAGAAAGGTGAACTAAAGAGTCTAAGGCTAAAACTGTAAAAGGAATCGGGGGAGCAGAAATGGAAAGGAGAAGGAGAGGGAGAGAAAGAGAGAGGGAGAGAGACTAAAGAGAAATACAGAAAGTCTGAAAAGGAGAGATGGACGGGGTTTGGAGAAACAGACTGAAGGAGAAGCCAGGGGAGAGGCAGAGAGAGAGAGTGTGAAGGACAAGGAGACCAGGGGGGGGGGGGGGGCGGACAGAAGGTGGAGGAGAAGGAAAAGCTGGGATCTAGAGTGGGGGCTTCTGAAAGGAAGGCGGGAGAGGCCAAGACCAGGCTTGGGAAGTCAGCGGTGCCCTGCACCCCCACACCACACCCCACTAAAGCACCCCAAGTCCCACGGCTTCTTCCCTGACTGAAATCCTAACGACCATGCCCCCTTCCGTCCCGTGTACAAAGTGACTCCCCAAGAAGGCCATGCTGGAGGGGTTGGGACGGTTGCGGAGCAGAGGGCACCTCCCGGGCCCCACCGTCTCCTTCCAGGGCTCCCTGTGGCTGCTGGGGTCCAGGATGGCCAGGCGCGGGGAAGACTGGCACGGTGCCCGCTCTTCCCCAAACGCCCCCGCTCCGAGCCCGG